TTTGTTAAGCTTCTGCAATATTGAAATCTCTGTACTGTTTATGTTATGAAAATTGTTATTATTATAAATAAAAGTGTTTAAAATGTTTTAAATTTTACAATTACCAAGTTAATACTTTAGTCCGAAAAGGGCTGCAGACCTGGACGGATTAGGGTGTTACACATTTAGCCTTTAAATTAACACCAACATGGAAGAAGATAAAAAAGGACCATTTGTCGAAAGACATCCTTAAAGAAAGGACTACGGGGGTAATATTTCATAATAGAGGACTAAATATGGAAAACCCCCTGTTATAAAGGACCAATTATGGAATTTACTCATACTAAAACCCCTAGAGTTTTCTTTTCTCCATGCATGGACAACTCACCGTATTTTTATTCCTGTTGTTCAAAAAGCCTGGTCTATGGAGAGCTAGAGCTCTAGTCCACCCATGACCCAATTCTCTAACAAACTACTTGCTATTAGAAAAGCTTTGAACATTTGGAATAAAGAGGTCTTTGGAAACATTTTTACTAAACTTGAGGCTTTGGAGAAAAAAAGTCCAGGAAGCTGAGGAAACTTATCAAACTGCACCTACTGTTGAGAACTTGATGCATTTCAAATCTATGGATGCTCAATATCTACACCAACTTCACTTGGAAGAACTGTTTTGGAAGCAAAAAGCTCATGTACAGTGGGTTGTGGATGGGGACAGAAATTCTAAATATTTTCATGCCTTAGAAAATTTCTACTCAAGCTATTGAGTTCTTCAACCAACTGTTTTCTGAGGAACAAATGGGGGAGATTGATTACAGCCCTCTCTCATATATTAACCCTTTGGTCTCTGCAAGTTACAGTTGGTTGCCGCTCCTACTATGGATGAAGTTAAACAAGCAGTTTTTTCTCTTAATCCTAACAGTGCTGCAGGTCCCGATGGTTTTACTGGTTTGTTTTATCAAAAATGTTGGGATATTATACACTTGGATGTGTACTATATGGTTTGTGCTTTCTTTGCTGGTGACTATATGACTAAGAGCATTGCACATACATCCATTATACTATTGCCCAAGGTTGACAGCCCTAATACTTTTGTTGATTTTAGACCTACAAGTCTATGCAACTTCAGCAGCAAGATTATTTCTAAAGTTCTAGCTTCAAGATTGGCTGGTGTTCTTCCTCATATCATCTCCCCTTCTCAATCTGGTGTTCTTGGGCTTTTCTCAACAAAATCCAGAGACAAATGGGTTTTTGTGAACAATGGATTGACATGGTGTTCAAAATGGTCTCCAATATATGGTATACTATTCTTGTCAATGGCCAAAGGGAAGGTTTCTTCACCTCCTCTAGGGGATTGAGGCAATGTGATCCTTTATCTCCAGGTCTATTTATTATAGCAGCTGAATTCCTCTCCAACCTTCTCACACGCAGAAGTCATAGTAAAGGAATTATCCCATTTACTCAACCTAGAGGCATCCAAACTATTAGTCATCGAGCTTTTGCTGATGATATGATAATTTTCACCTCAGGAAGAAGAAACTTTATCCTCAAAATTATGGAGGATCTGCATCTCTATGAGCACATTTCGGGCCAATTGGTGACCACACAAAAAATTTCCTTTTATATGAATCCTAGGAGTGCTACTGTCACCACTCAAAGAGTGGCTGATCTCATTTCAGTTAAACACCAACCTTTCCCATTTATTATTTGGGATGTCCAATATATAAAGGCAGGCTAAAAGTGTGTTATTTTAACACATTATTGGAGAGAATATCACAAAAATGTGAGGGATGGCAGGGGAGATTATTATCCTATGGTGGTAAATAAGTCCTCATTAAGAGTGTGCTGCAAGCTCTTCTTTCCCATCTCTTCTCGGCTATTCAACCCCCCAAAACAATTTTGAGTAAAATGGAGCAGAGCTTTTCTAACTTCTTTTAGGGCCAATCTGCTGGGAAAAAGCACTACCATTGGAGCTCATGGGAGCATATGAGCTTTCCTGTTAAAGGAGGTTTGGGCTTTATAAGAATGCAGACCATGGTGGATGCTTGCAGTGCAAAGTTATGGTGGAATTTTAGAATCTCTGTCACCTTATGGACTCAATTCATGAAAGCCAAATATTGCCAAAGAGCTCACCTTGTTTCTAAGGTGTTGGGCTACATGCTGAGTCCCACAAATGGAAGAGGATGGTCTTCATTCGAAACCTTATTGAACCCTACATATTTTGCAAGATATATGATGGATCCTTGAGCTTCTGGTGGGATAACTGGACAGGTATGGGAGCTTTAGCTCGTATTACCAACCAGGAGAATGGGAGATTTCTTCTTGCTCCTTTCAAAGAGTATGTGGTGAATAATACTTTGAGTTTTGGTCGATTACAAAACCTCATGGATCCAGGTTTCTTTTTCCACTTTAATGTGGATCTGTCAAGGTTGGGGACTAACAAACCTGATAAAGCCATTTGGAAGCCTAGGTTTAATGGCCTCTTTACACTCAAGGCTGCTAAACATTTCTTGGGGTGCAATGCGCAGACTTTTGTACAATTCAGAAATGTTGGAATACTCATATTCCTTTCAAGATATCCTTTTTGTGTTGGAGAGTTTTGCTCACAAAATTACCTCTGGACTCCATTCTATTAAAGCTTGGTAATAATTTGCCTTCAAAATGCTTATGTTGTGATACTCCCTCTCCTAAAACTACTGAGCATGTTTTTTCACAGAGCAATATAGCTCAATATGTATGGTAATATAGTTTTTCGGGTAGTAAACCTTCCCAGTAAAGGGTTAGTTTTCTCTCCGAGTGTCGTGTCTCTCGAGGAGTGGACGAAGGGAATTAGTTTAATTACTCTAACTAGGCGAAGATTAGGATTGGTTTATGAAAGTCTTCTCGGAACGATTATAATAGGAGCAGAGTAAAAATAATAAATTAAGTTTACATAGTATAAGTATAGATCTGGACCTAGGGTCAGGACATCATTTGGATCTATTTTATCGTATTAAATTAACAATTGGAATAATAATATTTCTATTACTACTCATCCATTTCTAGATTTGTACTTAATCTGTTGCACTTGAATATCGTAGCCTTTTAGCATACAATATCTTCTCAATAAATAGTTAATTAAATCTTTCGAGAATAATTAACTAAATAAGGCAAGAACAATAGATTAACCATTCCAACATTAATTTAACATCAAAAAAATAAACAACCAAACTAGTCCAGACCCAGAGATCCGGACCCTAACTCATACTATGCAAACATAAATTAAAATAGCATTTTATTAAATAAAGAAAACTTACAACCTCC